TGCAGGTTGGTTTTTGATTTGTTGCAGGCTGGACTGCTGAAGGTGCTTGGGTAGGCTGAGTTTGATGGTGTATGGTGGATGGGCAGTTGGTTTTAGTATTCTGGTCGGTGTATGTGTTATAGGCAGAATGTTGTTCGCTGGTTTGATGTGTTTCGGTGCTACTAGGGTTGCAGTCGGTGTTGCTGGTTTTAATGGTGTCGGTGGGTATTGGTTTGGGGTTTTGTTGCTGGGTAGTGGCGGATTGATATCGGCACCGGGCTGCAACGTGGAGGAGGGGCTGGTGGCTGTCGGTGCTGTGGTGATTGATGATGAGGTTAGGGTTAGGGTATGACTCTGATACCAACTTGAAATAGAGGTAAGTGAAAAAGGGATACAAACAAAGTGTAGAGCCCCGTATATATAGCCAATGAAAGTTACAATGGATAAAAAGGTAAAAAGAGAAAACTTAATAAGTCATAATAAACTAGGTAGTAACAAGTCCTAATAATTAGGCTACTGCTATATCTCCAACAAGTCTCATCCTTGTATGATTCTCAAAGGATCCCCCACCATACACTTCATTAGGGGTGTTTTCTTCTGTAACTTTATATACATTTTCTGCAGTTGACCGACCAAAGTTGCTTAAAGCTGCCAAACTTGATGGCCTCCTTGAAAGCATCTAATACACACACACATGATCCTAGTGCTACTTGAATGATCTGCACGACCAGTTCTAACTTCTCATCCTACATAACTGAACCTTGGACTGCTAACATGTGTGGGTTAGGCTTTCACTGGCCGTTTGACTCTTTTAACTGGTCTTACATTGGCCTTCAAGGAGACCAAGTTCCTTGAAGGGAGCAACAAATGGTCGTCAAAGAGAGTGATGGTGTCAATGAAGATGAACATAGCAAAGTGCATCTCTTTACTAGTTATCTCCACACTATGAGGAACGTCTCAATCAGATTCATTACTGTGAGCTGTCCTTTTTAAGTTCTTTTGTGGTTCTTCCTCCTGTTTGACTTCATATTACAGAAGTTATGCTGAAATCTGTTGTTAGTAGCTTGAAAATTTATAATGTTTGTATTGTGTAAATCAAATAATATGGAAGTTTTGGTGTAGGATTGTGTGCCCTGGTGAAGGTCTTCCTCCTGAACTTGTTCAAGACATGTTTCATAGCAGTCGATGGGTTTCTCAGGAAGGCTTAGGGTTGAGTATGTGCAGGAAAATTTTAAAGCTTATGAAGGGTGAAGTCCAATATATCAGAGAGTCAGAAAGATGCTATTTCTTAATTATCATTGAGCTTCCCATGCCTCAGAGAGGCGAAAAGAATGAAAGCTAGGTCATCGGACCTAAACACACTAGTTGAGATCTTTCTCAAGATTGAAGCTGAGACATCACTTCCAGAACTACTCCAGCGGATGCTTTGTATATAACCCAGAACATGGCCTGTTAAAGCCACCCGAGTCAGCTGATTTTTCCTGCAATTTGTGTGGATGGTACATGCCATGCTGCTTACTATTAACTGTTCGAGATGCCAACATATTACCATATAAGGAAGTTGGTAATCGCTAGTCCAAGAATCAATGTAAGCTCAAACTGTCTGATCTGGATTAATATGTTGTACTTACCATGACCAAGAGGGGTCTTCTTTGGGCTAAAGCTCTCATGATTGTCTGAAATTGCAATTGCATTGGGTTGTTTGTATAATCTGTTCAAGCCCCAAAGATAGACGTGGAATAACTACTGCGTTCGAGATACGCCTCCTGGATTGCTCTTTTTTTCTTTTCTTTTTGTTTTTGGTTGCATAATAAAGTTATTGTCTTGCTCTAGTTGTTGATGCTTTTGTAACATGAATTATGCTTACAATTTGTATATGCTTCTCTATCTGTTTGGAATGCCTTGTCGTCTAACTGCAGAGTTTGTAGTTACTAATAAAATTTGTACCATTCGCTTCTCTTTCTCGCTGATCAGTTCGTTTAAGCAATGTGTAGATTGGATTGGCCAATAAATCCATCTTTGTCCAAGAGGGTTCTTGATCATCTTCTCTTGTGTATGTGAATTAGCTTATGGTGTTGTATGCATTGTCCAAAGAATCAGGTTGAGTCTAGTTTTATCAAATTCGGTCTTTTTCATTTTGATTTCGCTTCACATTCTGAGTTTCACATAACCCATTGATGAATTGGAGACGTATGTCATCGTCCTTTACTCACAATGTATCATCGCTTGATACTTTTTACATCATCATTGACTCACAATGTCATTGTCATTCCNAAGAACACAATTGCACAGTAAAAATCTCTGGCTAACTGATGTACAGATAATAGATTCATGGCCAATTTTGGCGTATGAAAAATCGAACGTAATGTAAAGTCATCTGGGAGGCGAACTGTGCCCTTACTAATAATAGGGGCATGTGTCCCATCTGCTAACTGAACCTGTGTATATAACTGCTCGTCAAAATTGGTGAAGTGATGGGCCTCATCTGTCATGTGATCATTCGCACCTGAGTCCAGCATCCAAAGGGAAGACAGACTGGCTCAAGCATGATAGGCATGAGGTATATCTGTATTGGTGGCAGTAGCAGTAGTCGGACTCTGAGAAGTCAGAGTGGACATAAGTATATCTAATCGGGAAGTAATAACATTTATATCACTCTGCCAAGGAGGAGCAGTAGTAGGAGTAGCGGAAGTAAATGGTGGTACCTCAGCAATAACAGCAGTACGACTACGAGGAGGCGGCTTAAGCTCTGGATGGAGCTTCAAGCAAGTAGCCTTGAGATATCCTAGTCGGCCACAATAATCACACTGACGAGAATCCCCCTGTTTGCGCTGATCTAGGGCACCCTAACGGCACTGGTTCAAGCGTTGCCCACCCCTGATTGAGGATCCTGAACGAGACCCTGCAGCAGCTGCAAGGGTCATATGATCAACCGGAGGAGTCAAGGCTGCAACTGGAAGTGATGTAATACGGACGCGACGCTCATGCTGCTCAATTATCGCATACACCTCATAAAGAGAAGGAAGCGTCAACATCGACAAGATCTGGGAACGAGGTCCCTCAAACTCATCACGAAGCCCTATAAGGAACTTGTGAATCTTATCTTCCTGCTCTCGAGTATGTAAAAATGTTGCTCCCTCGGGCTCTATCCTCGGAATAACAACAAGAAGACGTAAAGCCTCATACTCAAGCCGGCGCTGGGTCAAATAGCCATAATAATCCTGAACGGTCATGTCTCCTTGCCGAGCATATGAGAGCTCCTGAGAAAGCTCATAAACACGTATTCCCAGTCTTGACTGGGAATACATCTTTGATAATGCGCTCCATAGCTTCGGAACAGAGCTATGAAACTGGTGAATCCTGCAAACATATAGCTCCATCGAGCCAAATAACCATCCAAGAATGGCGCAGTTCTCAGAGAACCACACAGAATATCCAGGGTCGGCATCAGCTGGCTTTAGGTGAGATCTCGTCAGCCAACCAAGCTTCCCTACACGGCCTAATAAAAACTGGAATGAGCGAGACCACTCAGCGAAATTACGGCTATTCAACAACTGTACCGTAACTTTCTGAGAGATCATGCCCGGCAGCGCTGGTAATGCAACTGTGTTAGTAGGTATTGTATACTTGTCAAACATAGAAGTGGAAGTACCAATAGATGTCTCAATTGTAGAGGTGTCAACAGTAGGGGTCTCAAGTCTCTCAGTAGTAGTCATATCAACAACAATATGAAGGCACCCGTGACAGAAAAACAACTCTAAAATAAATAGAGGGATAAAATAAGGGAGAATAATATACCTCCAGTCGAACAGTAGTGACTAATAAAGAAGGTCCAGAAAACTCCCAAATAATCAGATCACGGTGCCAAAAAATTCAATAAATATAAATAAATAATTTATTGCATCAAGAGCATATCAATGGAGAAGAGGATTCAAACCCTCTTAAAAGGTCCAACTGTCCCAAATAATTAGATGCACGAAGACAAAACACGATGCTGTGACAAAGAGTGCGACCCAACTGTGGGCTTGGACAGTGTGTTTGGGTGTTGGTCTGGGTTTGAGTTATTGATTTAATATGACTGTCTCAGTTTATGGGTTTGGTATGGACTGTAAAAGTGGGTTGGACTATAAAAGTGGTCCACTGTGGGTTTGTCTGGCTTTGTCGGTTTGCTTGGGTGCAGGTTGGTTTTTGATTTGTTGCAGGCTGGACTGCTGAAGGTGCTTGGGTAGGCTGAGTTTGATGGTGTATGGTGGATGGGCAGTTGGTTTTAGTATTCTGGTCGGTGTATGTGTTATAGGCAGAATGTTGTTCGCTGGTTTGATGTGTTTCGGTGCTACTAGGGTTGCAGTCGGTGTTGCTGGTTTTAATGGTGTCGGTGGGTATTGGTTTGGGGTTTTGTTGCTGGGTAGTGGCGGATTGATATCGGCACCGGGCTGCAACGTGGAGGAGGGGCTGGTGGCTGTCGGTGCTGTGGTGATTGATGATGAGGTTAGGGTTAGGGTATGACTCTGATACCAACTTGAAATAGAGGTAAGTGAAAAAGGGATACAAACAAAGTGTAGAGCCCCGTATATATAGCCAATGAAAGTTACAATGGATAAAAAGGTAAAAAGAGAAAACTTAATAAGTCATAATAAACTAGGTAGTAACAAGTCCTAATAATTAGGCTACTGCTATATCTCCAACAAGTCTCATCCTTGTATGATTCTCAAAGGATCCCCCACCATACACTTCATTAGGGGTGTTTTCTTCTGTAACCTTATATACATTTTCTGCAGTTGACCGACCAAAGTTGCTTAAAGCTGCCAAACTTGATGGCCTCCTTGAAAGCATCTAATACACACACACATGATCCTAGTGCTACTTGAATGATCTGCACGACCAGTTCTAACTTCTCATCCTACATAACTGAACCTTGGACTGCTAACATGTGTGGGTTAGGCTTTCACTGGCCGTTTGACTCTTTTAACTGGTCTTACATTGGCCTTCAAGGAGACCAAGTTCCTTGAAGGGAGCAACAAATGGTCGTCAAAGAGAGTGATGGTGTCAATGAAGATGAACATAGCAAAGTGCATCTCTTTACTAGCTATCTCCACACTATGAGGAACGTCTCAATCAGATTCATTACTGTGAGCTGTCCTTTTTAAGTTCTTTTGTGGTTCTTCCTCCTGTTTGACTTCATATTACAGAAGTTATGCTGAAATCTGTTGTTAGTAGCTTGAAAATTTATAATGTTTGTATTGTGTAAATCAAATAATATGGAAGTTTTGGTGTAGGATTGTGTGCCCTGGTGAAGGTCTTCCTCCTGAACTTGTTCAAGACATGTTTCATAGCAGTCGATGGGTTTCTCAGGAAGGCTTAGGGTTGAGTATGTGCAGGAAAATTTTAAAGCTTATGAAGGGTGAAGTCCAATATATCAGAGAGTCAGAAAGATGCTATTTCTTAATTATCATTGAGCTTCCCATGCCTCAGAGAGGCGAAAAGAATGAAAGCTAGGTCATCGGACCTAAACACACTAGTTGAGATCTTTCTCAAGATTGAAGCTGAGACATCACTTCCAGAACTACTCCAGCGGATGCTTTGTATATAACCCAGAACATGGCCTGTTAAAGCCACCCGAGTCAGCTGATTTTTCCTGCAATTTGTGTGGATGGTACATGCCATGCTGCTTACTATTAACTGTTCGAGATGCCAACATATTACCATATAAGGAAGTTGGTAATCGCTAGTCCAAGAATCAATGTAAGCTCAAACTGTCTGATCTGGATTAATATGTTGTACTTACCATGACCAAGAGGGGTCTTCTTTGGGCTAAAGCTCTCATGATTGTCTGAAATTGCAATTGCATTGGGTTGTTTGTATAATCTGTTCAAGCCCCAAAGATAGACGTGGAATAACTACTGCGTTCGAGATACGCCTCCTGGATTGCTCTTTTTTTCTTTTCTTTTTGTTTTTGGTTGCATAATAAAGTTATTGTCTTGCTCTAGTTGTTGATGCTTTTGTAACATGAATTATGCTTACAATTTGTATATGCTTCTCTATCTGTTTGGAATGCCTTGTCGTCTAACTGCAGAGTTTGTAGTTACTAATAAAATTTGTACCATTCGCTTCTCTTTCTCGCTGATCAGTTCGTTTAAGCAATGTGTAGATTGGATTGGCCAATAAATCCATCTTTGTCCAAGAGGGTTCTTGATCATCTTCTCTTGTGTATGTGAATTAGCTTATGGTGTTGTATGCATTGTCCAAAGAATCAGGTTGAGTCTAGTTTTATCAGATTCGGTCTTTTTCATTTTGATTTCACTTCACATTCTGAGTTTCACATAACCCATTGATGAATTGGAGACGTATGTCATCGTCCTTTACTCACAATGTATCATCGCTTGATACTTTTTACCTATGTAGAATGTAGGGTGTCTACTGGGAGGTCGTGTTACACTCCCGAAAAATGGGAATGAAAAATGAAAAAAGTAGGTAAACAAAAGGTTGGTGAAGCTCCAGGCACAGAGGAAGCAGTAAAGCAAGGAGCAACTGCCCTCTCTCAATAATGACCAATGTGAGGTGGTGTTTATGGGCTGCCAATTATCTGTCACTTTGGTGATCAGGTGACAGGAAACCATATGCTTTAACAGCTTTACATTGTGTGGAATGGAATAATATTCAAGATATATACCTATACCTAGCTCCACCCATTTCATCTAGATACACACACACACACACACACACATACACACACACACCCCACACACATATGTATATAACCCATAAAATATTTCTTTGGTATCGTAATAGAGGTTACAATTTTATTTTTTAATTCAAATATTTTGGTCAAGTTACATCTAAACCTACTAATTTCGTTAAGAGTTAACTAACAATGTGGTTCCTAAATTACTTCATATGTGTCAATTAAGCCCTTTAACTAGTTTTTATGTTAATTTAGTTTCTCAACTATATAATCTGTCTTAATGTAGCCATTTCGTCCAAATTTGCCGTTAATTTTGATAAAAAGTCTTACGTGCACGTCACATCATACTTTTTTTTTTAAATTAATGGCAAATTGATCAGAAAAAGGTCATATTAAAATAATTGCATGGGTGTTGGGAAAAATAATAATTTATTTATTTGGTGTATTACAAGTCAGTCCAATACACTAATGGCCAGTTGAAAATTAAGTCATCCAATTTTAAAGTTATCTTATACAATATTAAATCCTATATTCATAAACCTTATTCTCTTATAAATTATTTTGTAAACTTTAGAGTGGGAAATGGACAAAAGTAATTTAACTAGTGAAAGGAGGAGCCATGGAAGGATTTGGGAGTGGGTGGGCATGAAGTTTGAGAGAAAAAATTAAAATATGAATGTTATCAATCCAAAGGGGTCCCTTGAAATTGACTTTGTACATAATGTATTGAAAGCATGAATAGAAAATTATAGAAGATTAAGGTAATTAATGAGTCTACATATAAACAAAAAATAAGGGTTTTTTTTTCATATTTTTTACCTTTAAAAATTTAAAATTTTTTATTTTATATTCTCAAAGATTAAAATTTTCATATTCTACCATTAATATATAAAAAATATTGTAATGTGACTATTTTGTTAACTTTTGTTATTTTTTTCTGTTAATAGTCAACCCATTGACATTGACGAAAAAACTAATAAAAAGCTAACAAAAATGGTTATATTACAATATTTTTGATATATTGAAAGTGTAATATGAGAAATTTAATCTTTGACGGTATAAAATATAATTCCCCTGAAAAATAAAAATATATTATCAAAAATTATATATGAAATATATATATTTTAGTATTTAAAACCTTATTGAATATTCACTCAAATATAATAGATTTTCATAAAGAACACATCATGTTTTTCAAAAAACTAGAAATTTTGTGAAACATGAGTAGGATAAATAACCACATAAAATTTATTGAACTACCCATTTTATCCATCATTTTCTTGGGGTATTACACACAACTTTAGCAACTACTATTGCAGAAGAGAAGAGGGGACTAACGAAGTTCAAACTTGCGAACTAACAATCCAACGACAGGTTGCAAAGCTATTAAGCCACCACTGATCTTCAACTATGCGTTCTCTAGACTCACAAATATTATATAAACTTATCACATGTATAATTACTTTCAAATTATGCAAATAAAATGAATTAAGATATCTTTTATGAGTTTGGAATTTAAATTTTGTTAGCTATTGAAGTGGTAATATAGAATTATCACAATGGGTTATTATAGCTTGTGATATGGCTTCTCATTTTTTTTTTATTAATAAACACAAATTTAACATATAAATATAATTACTCATCCAGCATCAATGCAGATCACTGCTCTTTTGAATGGTGGCTTCTCATTACCACCATTTTTAAGCAACCAATGCGAATGAAATATTAAAACCCACGATGAAAAAGCTCTTGTGTTAGTTTATTCAGAAGCTTAAAAGAAAAGGCAAAGGTACATACTAGAGAATAAAAAAGGAAAAGGAAAAAGATAAAATAGTAATTTTAATCAAGGGCCATCTCACTTTGCACCATACTTTTATTTTTAATTTATACCCTCAAATATTAAAAATTTTATTTTATATACTTAAATATTAAAAGTTTCAATTTGTGTCCCAATATTATAAATTAATAATAATATAGACCTGACTCAAACTGTCATTCAATTTTTCGTCATTAATTGAAGTACTTGAAGTGCAAGTGAGAGAATGAGGTATGTCGATCGCTATAGATCTTCGTTTATGATTAATTTGACACCATTTTGTATATCAAAAATAAAATTTTATTCACAATATAGAGGTTAATCATACCATGTATAACTTATATAAGACGTCTATAATTTGTGAATTTATATATGAGTCTATGCTCAAAACACTCGTATCTCACTTGATTTAATTTATTATGAAAAACTGAATGACAGCTGGGCAAGTCTCATATTATTACTAATTTATAATATTGATGATATAAATTAAAATTTTTAATATTTAAGAGTACAAATTAAAGATTAAAACATCTTTTGCGGTAGAAAGTGTGATTAGCCTTTAATCAATTACAAATGCAGGAATGTAAAGGATTAGAACGTGGAGCGGACAAAAATTTTAGGCCTTTTAATGGAAAAAGAAGTGACGAGGGGTTAAAATTGGCTACCCACGCGTTATAGTCCAGCGTGTGGACAAGAACGGAATCAGATGTGTAACTTATAAAGCTATCAAACCATGATTGGCTATTATGACACGTTTAATACACTCGCTGCTTTTCGGAGGGAGTTTAGATTTGGCGGTCATTAACTATATAATAACTGGTTGAAATGGTTAGATTCAGATCATCATGAGGTAGAGAGGACACAGAGAAGGATGCAACCAAAAACCAGTACCGCCCCCAAGGCAGAGAGAGAAAGAGTCACAAACATTGTTACCGAGGAGAGAGAGAGAGAGAGAGAGAGACAAGTTGACAACTTGAGGTTTAGAGTTTAGAGAGAGCAAAGCAAAGGGTTTTCTCTTTTTAGTAGAGACAACATTTCAGTTATGGCTCCATTATAATCATCCTCATCTTCGACCCATATAGTTGAACAAGGAGAGAGAGAGAGAGAGAGAGAGAGAGAAAGAAATCAATGGAGAACGCGACACCATCACCAACCCCACCAGCTGAGGAGCTTCTAACGAAGATCCAAGAGCTCGAAGCTGGTCATGCTTACTTGAAACAAGAGATGTCGAAGCTCATGATTTCAAGTGATCACAAATCGGACTCACAAAACCGCCAAAGGTCTCACTCTATATCGCCAAAGCGGTCTGCTATGGCACCGACGTTGAGAGGCGGTGGCGCTGGTGGGTTTGAAGGTAGAGCTCCGGCGGCATGGAAAAAGGGTTCGGCTTCTTTCCGCCAATCGTCGCCGTTGCGGAGGGAAAGTCGGAGTTATCAGGATTACAGTGGCGGCGGCGAAAGCGGTGGTCCGGCGTCGGTGAAGTTTACTGATAGGCAGTATTTGAACATATTGCAGTCAATGGGTCAGTCTGTGCATATATTGGATCTCACAGGTCAAATAATTTACTGGTGAGTCAAATAGAATTGAATTACTTCCTCTTGTTGGCTAATTGTTACTTTTTGTGCTTTCTTATTTGATTCATTATCTTGTTGGGTTTAATTATTTCTTTGAGTGCTTTCTTATTTGATTCATTATCTGTTGGGTTTACTAGCAATTTAGGTCCTTCTATGGAGTGAAATTAACCGTTTATTGTGAGATTAACTTCATAAACAAACATCAGAGCCTCAGAAACTTGTAGCTGCATATTGAATAAGCATTTGATGGTCTGTTCTTCATAGTCTTGTCAAAGATTTTAATCTTAGTCATGGAAGTTTCGACTTTATCCTATTGGGATGTTGATTATGCAGGAATCGAACTGCTGAACACCTCTATGGTTACTCTGCTGCTGAAGCTCTTGAGCAGGATGCCATTGAGCTGCTAACAGATGCCCAACACTTTGCTATGGCTAATAATATAGTGCATCGTGTGACAATGGGGGAGAGCTGGACAGGACAGTTCCCTATCAAGAATAAGCGAGGGGATAGGTTCCTAGTGGTTGCTACCAATACCCCATTCTACGATGACGATGGCACTTTGGTTGGGATTATCTGTGTATCAGGTGATTCTCAGCCATTCCGAGAAATGAAGTCCATATTGTCCGGTACAAATCACTTGGAAGCAGATTCAAGCTTTAGTCGGACTAGGAGCATTGCTTCATCTAAACTTAGGCTTGATCCTCAGCAACCTCTACAAGTTGCAATTGCTTCGAAGATAACAAATTTGGTTAGTGTCCGAATTTATGTGTTTCTATATACCTATTAGTGTAGTGTATAATAACTGCCATCAGCAACAATACAGGCTTCCAAGGTGAGCAACAAGGTAAAGGCGAAAATGAGGACTACAGAGAACAGCATGGATCATGAAGGTGGATGTGTCGATAGTCATCTTTCAGATCATGGTTTGTCAGATGCAGCTCTGTCGGACCATAGGGAGGATGCAGCTTCAAGTGGAGCAAGCACACCCAGAGGCGACATATCACCATCTCCATTTGGGGTATTTTCTCACAATGGCCATGAGGAGCACTCCCCAGTAAAATCCTTAAGAGATTCTGGTGATGAGAGTGAAGCAAAACCTGGAATCTCCAGGATAATTTCCTCTAAGGCAGAGGCATGGATGGGGAAGAAAGGCATATCGTGGCCATGGAAAGGGAATGAGCGGGAAGGGTCAGAGTTGAAAACCACTCGCTTTGTCTGGCCCTGGTTGCATAATGATCAAGAGAGTGAAACCGTTCAACAGAAAAGTTTCAATGCTGCTTCAAAACCTGAAAGTCAGGTGGGTGAAGCTAACCGGACACCTAATAATGAGGCTTCAGGATCTTGGTCTTCGTCATTCAATGTTAACAGCACGAGCAGTGCAAGTAGCTGTGGTAGTGCGAGCAGTAGTGCTGTTAATAAAGTGGACTTGGATACTGATTGTTTGGATTATGAAATCTTGTGGGAAGACTTGACAATTGGAGAACAAATTGGGCAAGGTATCATATTTTAGACTGACAGGCTGCTAGTGTCGAGTATTGATTTTCTGTTTTTAGAAGCCCCCCCCCAACCCAAGGGGCGGCCTTCTTCTTCTATTACAATTTACAAGCAAAGCATGCGAGGATTGGTAGAGGCATTATTAAATGTCTGATCCTTATAGAGGCTCATATTGTTTGAATTAATTGCTGCTTCTGATGATGTGAGATGGTTGTTCACATTGTGAAGTTTTCAAAAGGTTTTATAGATATGAGTAGAACCCCCATGCCATGCAATGATCCATTAGCTGCCACTTTTTGCGTTTACATATGTTTCTTTGATAATGTTTTATCTAGCGTTCTTTACCTAACGTCTGTGTCACTTTTTTTTGGGTGATTGTGTATTCGTTTGACATGTTTTTTTTTCTCCCCAAATATGTTTCTGCAGGCTCCTGTGGAACTGTATATCATGCTCTGTGGTATGGATCAGTACGTTCCTTTGCTCTTCCTTCTATTTGTGTCATGAAAATATTGTGAATGCTGTTTCATTGAGTACAAACGAAATCATATGGGATGAGAACTCACGGTGTCAAATCCGCTCATCCAATCTTGGGCTTCTATCTGTAGATTCTGTCTGACCCAAAAAAAAAAAAACGATCTATAGATTGTGCACAACATGCACTAAATTTGGTTTGCCTTATTAGGGCTTTTTGTCTTATGGGTCATATTTTTTCAGTATCAAGCCAAATCTGGACTATGCATTTTGGTGCTATACATGATATAAATAAACAGTTTCTCAAATCATCTGAAACCTGGATCATGTATTCAACATATGAGGAGGCATCACTTTCTTATTATGAGGAATGAGACAATGCTGATGTAGCATCTTTTGTCCCTTTTAGCAGTAGTTCTAATAACATTCAAGAAGGAAAGCTCTACTGCAAAGTTTGTGGATTGCATGTTTGAATTGTTATTGAATGGCGTCCACTTTGTGCAGGATGTTGCTGTAAAGGTATNAATTCGGTCTTTTTCATTTTGATTTCACTTCACATTCTGAGTTTCACATAACCCATTGATGAATTGGAGACGTATGTCATCGTCCTTTACTCACAATGTATCATCGCTTGATACTTTTTACCTATGTAGAATGTAGGGTGTCTACTGGGAGGTCGTGTTACACTCCCGAAAAATGGGAATGAAAAATGAAAAAAGTAGGTAAACAAAAGGTTGGTGAAGCTCCAGGCACAGAGGAAGCAGTAAAGCAAGGAGCAACTGCCCTCTCTCAATAATGACCAATGTGAGGTGGTGTTTATGGGCTGCCAATTATCTGTCACTTTGGTGATCAGGTGACAGGAAACCATATGCTTTAACAGCTTTACATTGTGTGGAATGGAATAATATTCAAGATATATACCTATACCTAGCTCCACCCATTTCATCTAGATACACACACACACCCCACACACATATGTATATAACCCATAAAATATTTCTTTGGTATCGTAATAGAGGTTACAATTTTATTTTTTAATTCAAATATTTTGGTCAAGTTACATCTAAACCTACTAATTTCGTTAAGAGTTAACTAACAATGTGGTTCCTAAATTACTTCATATGTGTCAATTAAGCCCTTTAACTAGTTTTTATGTTAATTTAGTTTCTCAACTATATAATCTGTCTTAATGTAGCCATTTCGTCCAAATTTGCCGTTAATTTTGATAAAAAGTCTTACGTGCACGTCACATCATACTTTTTTTTTTAAATTAATGGCAAATTGATCAGAAAAAGGTCATATTAAAATAATTGCATGGGTGTTGGGAAAAATAATAATTTATTTATTTGGTGTATTACAAGTCAGTCCAATACACTAATGGCCAGTTGAAAATTAAGTCATCCAATTTTAAAGTTATCTTATACAATATTAAATCCTATATTCATAAACCTTATTCTCTTATAAATTATTTTGTAAACTTTAGAGTGGGAAATGGACAAAAGTAATTTAACTAGTGAAAGGAGGAGCCATGGAAGGATTTGGGAGTGGGTGGGCATGAAGTTTGAGAGAAAAAATTAAAATATGAATGTTATCAATCCAAAGGGGTCCCTTGAAATTGACTTTGTACATAATGTATTGAAAGCATGAATAGAAAATTATAGAAGATTAAGGTAATTAATGAGTCTACATATAAACAAAAAATAAGGGTTTTTTTTTCATATTTTTTACCTTTAAAAATTTAAAATTTTTTATTTTATATTCTCAAAGATTAAAATTTTCATATTCTACCATTAATATATAAAAAATATTGTAATGTGACTATTTTGTTAACTTTTGTTATTTTTTTCTGTTAATAGTCAACCCATTGACATTGACGAAAAAACTAATAAAAAGCTAACAAAAATGGTTATATTACAATATTTTTGATATATTGAAAGTGTAATATGAGAAATTTAATCTTTGACGGTATAAAATATAATTCCCCTAAAAAATAAAAATATATTATCAAAAATTATATATGAAATATATATATTTTAGTATTTAAAACCTTATTGAATATTCACTCAAATATAATAGATTTTCATAAAGAACACATCATGTTTTTCAAAAAACTAGAAATTTTGTGAAACATGAGTAGGATAAATAACCACATAAAATTTATTGAACTACCCATTTTATCCATCATTTTCTTGGGGTATTACACACAACTTTAGCAACTACTATTGCAGAAGAGAAGAGGGGACTAACGAAGTTCAAACTTGCGAACTAACAATCCAACGACAGGTTGCAAAGCTATTAAGCCACCACTGATCTTCAACTATGCGTTCTCTAGACTCACAAATATTATATAAACTTATCACATGTATAATTACTTTCAAATTATGCAAATAAAATGAATTAAGATATCTTTTATGAGTTTGGAATTTAAATTTTGTTAGCTATTGAAGTGGTAATATAGAATTATCACAATGGGTTATTATAGCTTGTGATATGGCTTCTCATTTTTTTTTTTTATTAATAAACACAAATTTAACATATAAATATAATTACTCATCCAGCATCAATGCAGATCACTGCTCTTTTGAATGGTGGCTTCTCATTACCACCATTTTTAAGCAACCAATGCGAATGAAATATTAAAACCCACGATGAAAAAGCTCTTGTGTTAGTTTATTCAGAAGCTTAAAAGAAAAGGCAAAGGTACATACTAGAGAATAAAAAAGGAAAAGGAAAAAGATAAAATAGTAATTTTAATCAAGGGCCATCTCACTTTGCACCATACTTTTATTTTTAATTTATACCCTCAAATATTAAAAATTTTATTTTATATACTTAAATATTAAAAGTTTCAATTTGTGTCCCAATATTATAAATTAATAATAATATAGACCTGACTCAAACTGTCATTCAATTTTTCGTCATTAATTGAAGTACTTGAAGTGCAAGTGAGAGAATGAGGTATGTCGATCGCTATAGATCTTCGTTTATGATTAATTTGACACCATTTTGTATATCAAAAATAAAATTTTATTCACAATATAGAGGTTAATCATACCATGTATAACTTATATAAGACGTCTATAATTTGTGAATTTATATATGAGTCTATGCTCAAAACACTCGTATCTCACTTGATTTAATTTATTATGAAAAACTGAATGACAGCTGGGCAAGTCTCATATTATTACTAATTTATAATATTGATGATATAAATTAAAATTTTTAATATTTAAGAGTACAAATTAAAGATTAAAACATCTTTTGCGGTAGAAAGTGTGATTAGCCTTTAATCAATTACAAATGCAGGAATGTAAAGGATTAGAACGTGGAGCGGACAAAAATTTTAGGCCTTTTAATGGAAAAAGAAGTGACGAGGGGTTAAAATTGGCTACCCACGCGTTATAGTCCAGCGTGTGGACAAGAACGGAATCAGATGTGTAACTTATAAAGCTATCAAACCATGATTGGCTATTATGACACGTTTAATACACTCGCTGCTTTTCGGAGGGAGTTTAGATTTGGCGGTCATTAACTATATAATAACTGGTTGAAATGGTTAGATTCAGATCATCATGAGGTAGAGAGGACACAGAGAAGGATGCAACCAAAAACCAGTACCGCCCCCAAGGCAGAGAGAGAAAGAGTCACAAACATTGTTACCGAGGAGAGAGAGAGAGAGAGAGAGAGACAAGTTGACAACTTGAGGTTTAGAGTTTAGAGAGAGCAAAGCAAAGGGTTTTCTCTTTTTAGTAGAGACAACATTTCAGTTATGGCTCCATTATAATCATCCTCATCTTCGACCCATATAGTTGAACAAGGAGAGAGAGAGAGAGAGAGAGAGAGAGAAAGAAATCAATGGAGAACGCGACACCATCACCAACCCCACCAGCTGAGGAGCTTCTAACGAAGATCCAAGAGCTCGAAGCTGGTCATGCTTACTTGAAACAAGAGATGTCGAAGCTCATGATTTCAAGTGATCACAAATCGGACTCACAAAACCGCCAAAGGTCTCACTCTATATCGCCAAAGCGGTCTGCTATGGCACCGACGTTGAGAGGCGGTGGCGCTGGTGGGTTTGAAGGTAGAGCTCCGGCGGCATGGAAAAAGGGTTCGGCTTCTTTCCGCCAATCGTCGCCGTTGCGGAGGGAAAGTCGGAGTTATCAGGATTACAGTGGCGGCGGCGAAAGCGGTGGTCCGGCGTCGGTGAAGTTTACTGATAGGCAGTATTTGAACATATTGCAGTCAATGGGTCAGTCTGTGCATATATTGGATCTCACAGGTCAAATAATTTACTGGTGAGTCAAATAGAATTGAATTACTTCCTCTTGTTGGCTAATTGTTACTTTTTGTGCTTTCTTATTTGATTCATTATCTTGTTGGGTTTAATTATTTCTTTGAGTGCTTTCTTATTTGATTCATTATCTGTTGGGTTTACTAGCAATTTAGGTCCTTCTATGGAGTGAAATTAACCGTTTATTGTGAGATTAACTTCATAAACAAACATCAGAGCCTCAGAAACTTGTAGCTGCATATTGAATAAGCATTTGATGGTCTGTTCTTCATAGTCTTGTCAAAGATTTTAATCTTAGTCATGGAAGTTTCGACTTTATCCTATTGGGATGTTGATTATGCAGGAATCGAACTGCTGAACACCTCTATGGTTACTCTGCTGCTGAAGCTCTTGAGCAGGATGCCATTGAGCTGCTAACAGATGCCCAACACTTTGCTATGGCTAATAATATAGTGCATCGTGTGACAATGGGGGAGAGCTGGACAGGACAGTTCCCTATCAAGAATAAGCGAGGGGATAGGTTCCTAGTGGTTGCTACCAATACCCCATTCTACGATGACGATGGCACTTTGGTTGGGATTATCTGTGTATCAGGTGATTCTCAGCCATTCCGAGAAATGAAGTCCATATTGTCCGGTACAAATCACTTGGAAGCAGATTCAAGCTTTAGTCGGACTAGGAGCATTGCTTCATCTAAACTTAGGCTTGATCCTCAGCAACCTCTACAAGTTGCAATTGCTTCGAAGATAACAAATTTGGTTAGTGTCCGAATTTATGTGTTTCTATATACCTATTAGTGTAGTGTATAATAACTGCCATCAGCAACAATACAGGCTTCCAAGGTGAGCAACAAGGTAAAGGCGAAAATGAGGACTACAGAGAACAGCATGGATCATGAAGGTGGATGTGTCGATAGTCATCTTTCAGATCATGGTTTGTCAGATGCAGCTCTGTCGGACCATAGGGAGGATGCAGCTTCAAGTGGAGCAAGCACACCCAGAGGCGACATATCACCATCTCCATTTGGGGTATTTTCTCACAATGGCCATGAGGAGCACTCCCCAGTAAAATCCTTAAGAGATTCTGGTGATGAGAGTGAAGCAAAACCTGGAATCTCCAGGATAATTTCCTCTAAGGCAGAGGCATGGATGGGGAAGAAAGGCATATCGTGGCCATGGAAAGGGAATGAGCGGGAAGGGTCAGAGTTGAAAACCACTCGCTTTGTCTGGCCCTGGTTGCATAATGATCAAGAGAGTGAAACCGTTCAACAGAAAAGTTTCAATGCTGCTTCAAAACCTGAAAGTCAGGTGGGTGAAGCTAACCGGACACCTAATAATGAGGCTTCAGGATCTTGGTCTTCGTCATTCAATGTTAACAGCACGAGCAGTGCAAGTAGCTGTGGTAGTGCGAGCAGTAGTGCTGTTAATAAAGTGGACTTGGATACTGATTGTTTGGATTATGAAATCTTGTGGGAAGACTTGACAATTGGAGAACAAATTGGGCAAGGTATCATATTTTAGACTGACAGGCTGCTAGTGTCGAGTATTGATTTTCTGTTTTTAGAAGCCCCCCCCCAACCCAAGGGGCGGCCTTCTTCTTCTATTACAATTTACAAGCAAAGCATGCGAGGATTGGTAGAGGCATTATTAAATGTCTGATCCTTATAGAGGCTCATATTGTTTGAATTAATTGCTGCTTCTGATGATGTGAGATGGTTGTTCACATTGTGAAGTTTTCAAAAGGTTTTATAGATATGAGTAGAACCCCCATGCCATGCAATGATCCATTAGCTGCCACTTTTTGCGTTTACATATGTTTCTTTGATAATGTTTTATCTAGCGTTCTTTACCTAACGTCTGTGTCACTTTTTTTTGGGTGATTGTGTATTCGTTTGACATGTTTTTTTTTCTCCCCAAATATGTTTCTGCAGGCTCCTGTGGAACTGTATATCATGCTCTGTGGTATGGATCAGTACGTTCCTTTGCTCTTCCTTCTATTTGTGTCATGAAAATATTGTGAATGCTGTTTCATTGAGTACAAACGAAATCATATGGGATGAGAACTCACGGTGTCAAATCCGCTCATCCAATCTTGGGCTTCTATCTGTAGATTCTGTCTGACCCAAAAAAAAAAAAACGATCTATAGATTGTGCACAACATGCACTAAATTTGGTTTGCCTTATTAGGGCTTTTTGTCTTATGGGTCATATTTTTTCAGTATCAAGCCAAATCTGGACTATGCATTTTGGTGCTATACATGATATAAATAAACAGTTTCTCAAATCATCTGAAACCTGGATCATGTATTCAACATATGAGGAGGCATCACTTTCTTATTATGAGGAATGAGACAATGCTGATGTAGCATCTTTTGTCCCTTTTAGCAGTAGTTCTAATAACATTCAAGAAGGAAAGCTCTACTGCAAAGTTTGTGGATTGCATGTTTGAATTGTTATTGAATGGCGTCCACTTTGTGCAGGATGTTGCTGTAAAGGTATTCTCCAAGCAAGAATATTCGGACGATGTGATACTTTCCTTCAGACAAGAGGTGTGTAGTCTTATTCATCACTGGGTTGTTCTGATGAACCTAATTAGTCAGATATCTAATTTTCATATTTACTTGTCCTCAAAGTCAAAAAAAGGATCTTCTATAGGGGATGTCCTGAAATTCATCCTCAGTGTACCCTCCTTGGATGTATACCCAAAGCTGATTGAGATCAATTTTTTTTGGAGTGATTGTCATCAGAGTTACTTAGGTGGAAGGGCATCTGCTGATGCTATAGTTTATCTTTGTTTTTTGAAGGTATCACTTATGAAAAGACTTCGGCATCCAAATGTTCTGCTCTTTATGGGTGCAGTAACTTCACCTCAGTGTCTCTGCATTGTCACTGAGTTCCTTCCCCGGTTCGTTCTCTACTTCCTGAAAAATTTATTTATTGTCAAGCAATATGACATGTTCGTTGGTCGTTCTTCTTGTAATTCCTCATTATTTGTCTGTTATATTTTGGTTGGATAAGAACTCTTCCAGAAAATGACATCTTTTATCTGTTTTGTTATTATTATTTTTTGATGCAGTGGAAGTCTGTTCCGGTTACTACAGAGGAATACCTCTAGATTCGATTGGAGGCGGCGGGTTCATATAGCCTTAGATATTGTAAGTTGTGCAAAGTTCAGTTTTTGTGTAAGATATATAATTTTGCTGACCGTTACGACTGATTAGTGGACATGATTGGTAAAGGTGCACATCATGTTTGTCTACATTGGTTTTTGTATGATTTTGTCTAATTGTGGTGCTCATAAGCTTTTCAACGTTTCATGCTTTTGGAGACATTGACTTTTTGGGTAATCTATCTGATGATTATTAATCAGGCATCATCGCATTGTTAACGCCTCTACAGGTACGAGGCATGAATTATCTTCATCATTGCAACCCACCCATCATTCATCGTGATTTGAAATCTTCAAATCTTCTTGTTGATAGGAATTGGACCGTAAAGGTTTGTGTTTGTTCTTCATATAATGACTTGCCAGTTCATGCTTGGTTTTACTTTTCAACCTCTTTGCTTTGAAATTTATGTATTCCAATATGACGTAACAATTGACAATCCAACAGGTTGGTGACTTTGGCTTATCACGTATCAAACATGAAACATATCTGACAACAAATACGGGGAAAGGAACGGTACTTCAACTGGCGCTGATGACCTTTTATTTTTGGCTAGATCAGTCTGATGTTTCTTTATTTTCTCTGGATGAAGTTCAGGTTCTTAGTTGGCTTAAATTTTTTACCTTTTCCTTGTTTTGTAGCCTCAATGGATGGCTCCAGAAGTTCTTCGTAATGAACGCTCAGATGAGAAGTATGTCTAAATCCATGAGGCTTGGATCTTTTTTGTTAGAGGGGTACACAAAGACAGAGATGAACCTCTAAAATTTTAACATGCCTTGTTTTTGTTTGGTTAAATATAGGTCTGACATATACAGCTTCGGGGTGGTATTATGGGAACTTGCCACTGAGAAGATCCCTTGGGATAATCTCAACTCAATGCAGGTATTGTTCACTTTGAAAAATGGGTCAGCTTCACAAACTACCCTTTGAGGGTTTAGCATTTCAACTTCATGCCATCTCAGAAACTTTGAAGAACTTGTTGATGTTTCAGGCCTGTCAACCACACATAGTTTATTGATGGCCAGTTTTATTTTCTGAACTCGACCGCCACTTGACTATTCAAACTGTCACCACTTTTTTTGTTTGGCGAAGTACCCCCTGAATCTCCCTTTTGTCACAAGCCCCTCTCATGGTTCAAAGTAGCAGCTAATATTGATCCGACTTAGTCAAGTTGGCTATCCGATTCGATATTGTTTCATGTTTTGTGTAAACCACGAGTCTTCCAAGTCATCATCACAAATCGACTGAATTTGTTCGTGATGTTTTGTGTAAACCACGTGTTCACTTCTTCTATATAGTATTTCGTGCTTATTATCCAATATTGTTCCACAACATTGCGGCCAGTGCAATTCAGGGTCTTCAGAGTTGATATCTGATGCTGCGACCTTGAACAATGCTCTCACCATTGGCAGAACAAAACCTCAAACCCCTTGGAACCACCCCGTCCCACTCCCCACCAAAACCCACCTCTCAACCTAAGTTCCATGTCTCTCTCTTGATATTTGTGTTTATTTGTACAAACTCGGATTTTGCTCATGTATTTGGTTTTGGAGGTGGTGGAAAAGGTGACAACAGGGATTTGTGATTGTAGTTAGGATTGTTTTTTTTTTTTAGGGTGGGGAGGGGTTGTTTTGAAAGGATGGGGATGACAGATTGTTTGGGATTATAAAGAGGAGTTTGTTTTCTACATCGAATGATTAGAATCATGTAAGGTTGGTTTATATGTTTGGAGGGCCTCTCCACCCATTCTTAATTGGTTTTGTGTTGAATGTTCTAACATGGTATCAGATTTGGGTTTTGAGTGATTAGTGGGTAAAGTCTTTTGCCCATTTGCATTTCCCAGTGTGCAAATTTGTTTGTTATCCCAGTGTAATAGGCTGATTGGTTTCATGCTATTAGTGGATTCTATATGATTATATGGCAGTTTTTCCATCGTCTTTGTCTTTCTTATTGTTAACAAACAGTTGCACATTATATCTCTGGCATGCATAACCAACAATTTGTTTAGGATACTTGCAGGTGATTGGAGCTGTGGGGTTCATGAACCAACGACTAGAGATCCCAAAAGATGTGGATCCGCAGTGGGCTTCTATAATTGAGAGCTGCTGGCACAGGTTTGTATATTTCGTATGCTTATTATCCAATCTGACTTGGTCTTCCAAAAAGAAAAAAATTAAAAAAATTCTTCCCAGTGTTGGCGATTTTGCCATGCTCTAGAAAATTACTTTCATGAAATAGTATGGGCTCGATCTCTAATTAGGAGTTGTTTACTTCATGTTACATGGGTATTGCCTGGATATTATATTTGTAGCTGAAAACAGCCTGATAGGGTTTCTCGAACCATCCAACATTTAGGGTGCATGCATGGATACAAACCTGCAGTTAATGCAGCTTTGATTTTCGTTCACCTCTCCAACAAAAGCATTCCAACAAAAGCATTTCAGACACTTACCACATAGTACTCCACTCTTCCAACTGCAAAAAAAAAAGAAGACAGTAATTGTGCTGTACCAAAAAATGGACAGTAAAACAATAAGAAACTTGATACCAAGTAGTTGGAATGAGGCACTTCCATTGAATGAATTGTACAATTAGTGTCCTGTACCAAATTTAGCTCAGATTATATGCTTTGCTTATGGCCTGAGTTTCTGAAACTTCGCTTTAGATATTTGGAGTCTATTCTTAAGAATGTTTGCCATTTTTTGGGATGAAAGCTGAAAGTAGGTTGGGATATTGTAGGTGGACACTGGGTTGTGTGAGCACCAAAAGTTGTCATTGTGTATTTTAGTATCCCCATTTATTTATTTATTTTTTAACTTTTACTGATCTTAGAGACAATCTTCAATTATAAGTGAATTTTATTTGGAACTTCACAACTTTGTGAAATCCAGCGAGCCACAGTGCCGCCCAACATTTCAAGAGCTGTTGGAAAAGCTCAAGGATCTGCAGAGACAGTATGCCATTCGATTTCAGTCAGCCCGTTCCCCTGCTGGAGATAACAGCCAAAAGGAGTTGTAGATACAAAATGTGTCTTTTCTCTTCAGCTTTGCTCGAGTTTTTGTGAGAAGAACATTGCATCTTTGCACCTGCTGCTGGTTACTAGAAGTGGCCACAAAGTGCTTGCTCTCGCAGAGCTAGAAATTCAAAAGAAGACTGCACTAATTGTTGTTTCTTGTCAACATCATGAGATCTCATCCGGGATGCTTTGTTATTGAATTCATGTCTTGCACGGGCCATCGATCTGTGTGATCATACTCATGTCATTCGGATGATATGTGATTCGTATGTGATCTACGTGTGTTGCGAGCAGCCAAAACTATTTGTACAGGAAACACCCACGATTTTGTATTTGAGGTATTGCAACCATTGATTTACTGTACTCACTGTGTTGTTATTTGAACAAGGTTGTCTTGCATGGGCTTCTGAGCCGTGGTGGATTATGACTGAAGGTTGATATCTGAAATCTATGGTATAAACAGAAAAACTGTTTGTGTTCCAGAGTTGCTTCATGGTTGACCGTCCACTTGGTAAAAGAGTAAGACAACTTTTTATCTACTATTCTCCATTAAGTGGACCTTGGTAAGCAGGAACAATATCCTTGAAGCTAGATTGCATATTCAAGTACGATCACTTGGTTCATGGGGAATTAATATTTAGCGAGTTCCAGGAACATTTCCTTGTGATTTATGACCTCTTGTTATGTGACCCTGTAAGACATAATTCAGAACCCCTTTAAGCAGGTCTGAGTCGCCAAATGACGTTACTACCCTAGAGAGAGAGAAATGACAGGTAACCTCGACCCCAACTCGTCCATCTTTGCCTCATTTGCCGAACCCACAGCAGTGCGTAACAAGGTCCAAAATAGCAGTTGACAAGGAATCGTCCTCCCGTAATCAAAACCAGGATCTGAGCCACCCTTCACCCTTGACTCTACCCACACTCGGTAAACATAAAATGATACCATCCCTCGGACCCTCTCTAATACACCATTGCCGTTATGGAGATATCACAGTCTCTGCATTATGACAGGGAAGCATAGGTACATATGAGGCATCTGCAGTAAAGATCACTAGGCAAATATAAGAAAAGTAACTAAAATACCCACCATGCACTAGGTGTTCTCTTTAGATGTTCAAATCCAGGACTTTTTTTTTTTTTTCAAATTCTGTGTAAATCAAGAAAGAAGTAATTTGATTGCAAGAAGCGCACAGATAAATAGAAATGTATTGAAAGATGACAATTTTCTTCCGATAACATCTGGCACGGAAGCAATTTGTTTCAAGCAAGCAAAGAAAGTGCAAAAACTGCAGTAAATAGCCACTTGGCTTTTTGAACGTGAACATATCTTCATAAAAAAATAAGCTCGCGGGATTTGAAGTGGAGGCTCGCTACAAATCAGGATTTCTCAACTTGATTGATCCAAAGGCTTTCTACCGGAGCAAGTGTTGAATGGCAGCAACAGCATCGCCTTTGTGCTCACGTAATGTTCTTTCAGCCACCTTCTTGTCCAACTGTGGAAGGAAAAGTATATTAGCCTTTGGAAAGAAATTAATTGAAACAGATGGAGCATAAATATATAAGAGGAATCTGACCTCTAGTTCATTTGCGATTATATCAACATCAGCCACATTAATCTTAACAGCGGCTAATTCTTTCTCCCTGTGATGGATTGAAATGGATTTACAAGCGATAAATGTGGTCTAACAAATGTATAAATAACAAAAAGATTTACATATGCCATTGGTGAAAACTTCAGGCTCTAGACCTATTACCAATTCAAGTGAGCATTGGATATGCGTCCTAATGATGCCTAGAAGTGGTGAACAGTTCATAGCAAACTCATTGGGAGAATAAAAAATAAAAATTGGTACAGCAATAAAGCCCAAGACTACAATAAACTGGGGGAAATATTACATAAGGCAGGGCCAAAAAAAACAAGGAATTTTGACATAATACAACAAAAAAACTACAAAAAAAAAGGAAAAGAGTATTTATTTTAAAGATAGTCAATGATTGACCTGCTTTAGCTTTCTTGAAATTGAGGGGAAATCTTTCAAAGGAAATGGGGAAAGCATTCAAAAACAGACAGCTGTCATCTAACTTAACTACAGGTTATGAGTCAAAGAAAAATACCAAGTTCACCAACAAACAACACTACCATGGCATATAAGTGGCAGTTAATAAGATTACTTTGCAACATTTGCAAGTGATAATGAAAGTTTGCAAGTGATAATATTCTTGTCCACCCATGATGTAAACTTTCTTATTTAATGAAAGTTTTTGGTTTCTATCAAAAAATAAATAAATTTGCAAGTGATAATGGCATCGCCTGGATCAAAACTACTACACCAAACATTACCACAACAATGGCTAGACTTGGACATTATCTGCTTGTGATATCAATATAAATTGTGGTTCAAGTGGCATTCAGATGCTAAATTTCAGAGGTTATGACAAAAGTGCTCCTACACAAAGTAGTTATGCCCCACATGATGATAAAAAATCAAAACGTAAATTCAAAAAGCCTAATATTGTTCTCAACAAATCATCACCCATTGACTAAGGCGCTTCACCTTTTTTATACTTTTAAAATATCATTTATTTTATGCATTGATTATTTCCATTATCGGTAATGTTATTTTTTTTTTTTGTAACTACTTTTTCTAAATAGAGAACATGTCTACAGGAAAATATGAAGATGGCCGGCTTGACAACCTAAAAAGAGAGAAACATAGATAAATTAAATGAATCTCAAAAAAGACATTTCAATAAATTTTTTACAAGCAATTAACTAAAAATAACACTCACTCTAGGTAACTAATATACTAATATTCAAACATAACAAAAGCCTCACTAAGAGTCGTCGACTTCAGCCAAAAATTACATCGAACCAGAACTGATTAATATCTACGACATGTCACTTCATTATTTCATGTATTTCTCCATACCAATATCAACCTAATCCCATTTGCGCAATAGTGAATCCTCCCAGTAACATCACAACACTACACATGTTTCGCCATATTGATAACAAATATTATTTAGTCTGAAGCCAATTTCTAATCTACTTCAAACCGACGTAAATCAAGTAACTCTTCTACTCTATGTTCGTCCGACCGCATTGGACGGTTAGCCATTCATTTGAGACGATAGGAGCGAGGCTGAGTGTTATATGGCGGCTAAGGCAATCAGTTAATTTCTTTCTGAAATAGATCTTCTGCTGCTGCTCGCGAGTTGCTGCAAGTTTCAATGGTCACTTATGATATAACCAAACCACACTGGGTGTGTTTGGATATAATCGGCAAAGATAGGAATGAATTGGATTTTTTGTATCTTAACCCATTCAGGCACTTAATTAGATGGGTTATGTATGCCATCCAACTCAAACCATTGTTTGGCAAGGAACAATTGAATTGGATAGACTCCACTTGATTTTTGTAGATATTTACCTTTGTACCCATTGATGAACCAGACCACTATAGTAGTCGCTGCCACAACATAAACGCCATCACCGCCACAACAGAAACGCTACAAAAGAAATGCCACCACCACAATAGAACACCCACCACCACAACATAAACGCCACCGCCACCACCACTACAATAGAAACACCCGCCACTACCACCACAAAAAACAGCCACCACCACAACAAAAACGCCACCACCACCACAACAACATAAACGCCACCACCACCACCACCACAACAATAGAAACACCCACCACCACTATAAAAAATGACTCAAATTTGAAAGACAGAGAAGAGAATTAGGGTTTCAAAATCACCTACCATCACATCAGATCTGAGAGAGAGAGAAATTAGGGTTTCAAAATCATCCATTTGTTGGGATTTAACACGATTTAAATCCACTAACAAACACACACAATCGAAGAACAAATCAAGAATATAAAACAATAAGAAACAAGAAAGAACAAGACACAGATTTTACGTGGTTCGGCAATTTGCCTACGTCCACGAAGCTGCAGGGATTTCACTATTGAGAGAGTTGAATACAGAGAGCGGCTATACAATCCACGATTAACCCTAATCACCAAAACAACAGGGTTTATATGTCCTACGCACTGGGCTGTATAACGGGCCCAAAAATTTTTTCCTCGGGGGCGTTGCCCCCGAACCCCCACAAGGCTTGTCTATGAGCACTACGACTTGGGCCTATCGGCCCAAGCCTTTACTCCATGGACTAAGCCTCAGAAAATTTTCCATTAAAAAAACACACAACATTATTTCGGGTCGGGTTATCATCCGGATCACATAAACAAACTAGACTCCATAAAAAAAAACCAACACCATCATTATAGAGATACGGGTGACTATGAATGATCGAGATTAGGGGTGGTGCTAGTGAAGGTCTATTTTTCATTCAGTCCACTCAGGCACCCAAAACCATCCCGACAGAAACGCTAGGCTTGGGCTTCGTCGCTTTTACAAAGTGAGAAAGAGAGAGAGGGTTTAGTTGCCTTCACAAAGCGAGAAAAAGAGAGAGAAAGGAGATAGACAGAGGTCTGGGCTTTTCGTTGCCTTCACAAAGCGAGAGAGAGAACTCTCAAGAGAGGAAGGTGGGTAAATATGTCATTACCCCTTCATAACCTGTCGGCTGGGATTGAAACCCATGGTAGAGATGGGCTAATTTTAACCCATATAGCAGGGTTAAAAAGCACTGTAGCATCCGGATCAAGGATAGACCTGGGATTTATATCCTAGCTCAATTTTGGCTTCCCAAACAAAGGATTTATGGGACTCTCTACCTTATTACCCTATCCTTATGGCTTAACCCATTACCCAAACACACCCACTATTTCATAGTTTCGAGTTGGAAGCTGGAGTAAGAGTAGCAATAATTGATCTGAACCATCCCGCCATTCTTTGGTTCACAAGTCATTTAAATGCTGAATGTTATAGGTCATAACAAAAATGATCCTACACAAAGTACCCATGTCCCCAAGGATGATAAACAATCAAAACGTCAATTCAAAAGACCTAATATTACTCTCAACCAATCATATTCCTAATCACACCACTATTTATCAGCTCCACCAGTGGCGCTTAACGTTTTTTATACTTCTACAATTTCAGTTTATTTTACTCTCATTGACCATTTCCATTATCGATAATGTTGTCTTCTTTGTAACTACTTTTTTTAAATAGAGAATATGTCTACTGGAAAATTTGAACATGGACTTGACAAACTAAAAATAGATAAATTGATCCAATCTCAAAAAAGATATTTCAATAATTTTTTTACAAGCAATAAACAAAATATAAGAAACACTCTATGTAACTAATATACTAATATTCAAATATAAGAAAAGCCTTACTTAGAGTTGTTGTCTTCAGCCAAAAATTACATAGAGCCAGCCCTGATTACTATCCACAACATGTCACTTCATTATTTCATGTTAGTATCAATCAAATCCCGGTCACACAATAGTGAATCCTCCAAGTAACATTACAGCACTACATAGCATAGCTTTAAAACTGGCTCGGACACATTTCAACCATTGGGTCACAGATTGGTAATATAATAAAAAAATAAAAAATTATAATAAAAAGGCCGAAAAATCACAATAATTATGAAAATAGCATGCTATTAGATAAACAACCACCCCAAAATCATCAAACATGTATCCAATGTATTCAATTTTTGACACAACTAGTAAAGTTAAGTAGAGAAAAATAGCTCTATTTTACAGAGGTTTCTCTATACTAGGATAATAAATATTATTCAGTCTGAATTCTGACGCCAATTTCTAATCTACTTGAAACCGAGGTAAACCAATTAACTCTTCTAAACGACTGTCCCACCACAATAAACGGACAGCCATTGACCACGTAATCGTATGAAAGGATCATATATGAGTACAAATCGATTCTTGAATATCAGACTCTTGTATTTATTTGGGAAAGATACAGACCTCATTCTCATGGCTTGGATATCGGCTTCCTTTGATGCAGAAATTGACGCCATTGCCTATGGAACACCACTTACAATTACTCTGTAAATAAAGCAACACATTGCAAATATATATAGTCATTTACCTCTTGAACACGGGTTGAATCGAGCTGACGATCTTCGACATGGTCAGTGAGCTTGTCAAGAGCTTTGCTCTGTTGCTGCAAGTCTTTCGAGTCCTCTACCCTCTCTATTCCTTCGTCCCCTCCATCCATTGCTGCTCTGCTCTGCGTTCCGTGTTGTCTCAAATCAACAAGCCCTAGATTTTGTTCTTGGATTTGATAAATGGGCTGGATTTCTAAAGTGGTTGGTGTAGAAATGAGAAAGGGCCTGGGTGTTAGTTTAATTGGGCCTTGTACCACACAATGAAAACCAATCAATTGGGCCTCTATGCTTCACAGATAGCTAGAGGGTTATTAATGGGTCATGCCTTATTGTGATTCTAGATTGCGTAAATTATATCGTATAAAATAAAATTAATATATTAATTTTAAAAAATAATTATATATCGAATTAATGTTGTGTATTAGATATTTAAAGAGCAATACTATTGAGACATAATTTGAGGATATAATTAGTTGTCAGCAATGATATGATAATGAATTTATTTAATGTTACAATGGGACCCATCATTAAATACATTTCACTATCATTTCATTGGTGACAACTCATTATATCCCCAAATTATGTCCCAATAGCATTACTGTATTTTAAAAGAAATTGAATCCATGTCCCCTTTTCTCTCTCTCTAATAGATTTTTATTTTTCGTTTGACCAAATTTGACAAATTAAATGAGGATAGATCAATTATTTACCAGTTAAAATCTCCTATATAAGCTCCTGTGCCATTTATGAAATGTCAGGGGTACTATTGTTATTTTGACAAATGTTAGAGGATGTTATAGAAATTGGTCCTAGAATTAATCACAAAACCATAGTTAGACACATTCATTCCTTACAAAAGATGAACTTTGTAGCCATGCCAGCAGCCGTTTCTTGGCCTTGAATTGATGAAATCTATATGGAAAAAATCAGAATGATAACAAATTCATTTGACACTCAGTCGTAAACTATGTATTGGTTTGAACACAGCTAGAGGCATCCATTCCTTACAAAAGATTCACTTCAAAGCCATGCCGGCAGCCATTCCTTGCCATTGATGAAATCTATTGACAGGAAAGGGGCAGCTTCTTTGTCACTGAGTTGCTTAGACCATGGGGCTCGGTTGTTCGAAGCAGACCCTGGTCCATGGCATTTATACTCTGCTTGGTAAAGGTTTCTGTTTCAATTCACACAAATTTCTAACATAAGAAAAATATTCAAAGCAAAACCATCAAAGATTAAAAAAAAGAAAAAAACCTATGACTTTCAGAAAAATCTTGTTAAAAACCCATCAACTATGAAGTACTGCAAGAAAGTTTCAATCCATTTGAAGCTAGTTCACTAGTGGGAGAAAGCTTTGTTTCTAATTCCCAAACCAAAGGCTTGAGTAAGGTGCCCGTGCCAGTTTTAAAGGTAGGGCCATGAGTTCGATGTGCAATCAGAAAATGTATGTGCAGTTAAGTCTCTTATTAGATATAAGCTTTTGAATTTTGATCCACTGGGGTGATTTTTAGACCAAGAATAAATTTCATTTGGAGAAGGAAATTCAAGTCTTTCTTACTCTGTATTGCCGGCATAGCTCCAGTTGGTCCACCCTTGAGGTACTATGGTATTGGACAAATAAGTGTTTGCAAAAACCACCCTAGAATGGGCTCCTTTTGCTCTACCCAAGTGCACATCTCCAATACCATAAACCTTTCCTTTAATGAAAACGAATCCACTGTTTTCGCTTGCATTATGCCTGTTCTGAGCTGTGACAGATCCACGGATCTCAATCCTTTTGTCTCCGATCACAAAGAGCTCACAGTTCTGCATCCACATACCAAAAAGTCACTGATCAAATGATGTTAGACATTTCTTAGTTCATTTAAGTACATCACCAGTTGCTTTAAATTCTTGGTCGATTTCGATTTTATACATTGATATTCAACAAGGGCATGTGGAGTAGCCAGATTTTCAATTTTGTAACAGAGGTGTAATCCACTGACGCTGAAAGGTGTTCTTAACTGGATATTAAAATGAGCAGCACTCACATGAAAGATTGATTGGGCACGGCCAAATATGAAGTCAATAGAGCCCTGAATGTAGCAAGCATCATAGTAGTGCCTGCCTTTGTAGTCAAAGAGAGTGTTATGGGTGCTGAAGAATGCACAATGGTAGAACGCAGCCTTGTCCGCACCCACAAGTGCTGCCACAGACTGGTTTTGTGAGGTATAAGCAATGCCAGTGGGAGCCTCATTCTTGAAAACAACAATAATAAGATCATTAACCATGATGATGACGATAAATCATATAGCAGTAGGGAATATGTATCAAAAACATTATTTAGTAGGAAACAAACTGCTAAGTGAGATCAACTTCTTGAACTAAATTTCTTCATCGAAATGTCTTGCCCCAATGATTAGGTACACAAACCACAGGTACAAATTTCACAAATGGAGTTCCAAATTTTAGAACATAAGAAGCAAAACAGTTGCAAAGTCCACCTTAAATAAGTATAAAATTTGATGAAGATTGATGAAGTATTATGGATTGGAACAATTTTTTCAGTGAATGGGTTGACCCCTGACAGATAAGGGATTAATTCAATGATGACTATATTAGGGGAATTTTCTTCAGGGTATTATCAACTATTGAAAGAAATCCAGAGAGATAAAAGCAAAAAAGGATATGCAGGGACAGAAAGCAATGAACCTTGAAGCTTATACCAAAGGCAATGAAGTTCGGAGCTTCAACTTTGAAAGTGGCGGATTCATAATTGTCAACAGAGCTATGGGACCAGACAATGGCCGACTTCCCTTTTCCATTGCCTCTCAGGAATATATAGGGTTTGTTAGGAGGTATGTACACCTTTTCTCTGCCAAACACGATCCAAGATCAATTCATTAGATGAAACTCCTTGGTAATAAGTTGCATAACCCTACTTTCTTCTAGTCCTTAATTATGGACTTTTATCCGCGAAGAAATAAAGATAACTATATCATCTACGATATCCATTGCATGATACTCATTAACATGAAAACTAACTAAATTGCAACTCGAAGAAAATATGGACTGCTGAGTTTATGGATTTTCTTTTCTTGATATCAAATATATTTGCCAATGCGCGACTTGTAATGAACTGCAAGCATGACATAATCGATCGTTCTTTTCCATATTAAGTGCACTCGGTGAAGTTAACAATTTAATTATTTCTTTCTTTATAGATGTTGATTACGTTGGAGCTACAAGCAAGTGTCAACTTACCATGAATCTGTTGAGGTACAAAAAAGAATTTATTTCATCAAATACCGATGCCAAGACATTATTATTTGACCAACTACATGGTCATTTGGATTCATGAATTTTATTGAAAATCTAGTGTCTAGACCAATAGATGATCCATCACCACATGCCTTGACATAAACCCATTAAAAAAGTCCTCTTTCTTGTCTAAAACAAGGCCAAAATTCTCTCCATCAGTGCATTATGCTTTGATTTACATCCATGCATATGCCAAAACTCTTTCCACATATAAGGCTGCATTATGCCTTTGAGGCATATCATCAAACAGGTAGAAATAGAAAGCAACTTTCAGATAGTGCCCAGATGAACAACCCAAAAACACTTTTGGCGGGGGATGATACAAGGAGGACAAGGAGATAGCATATTGTTGATCAGATCATGAATAAATATACATAATTTCAGAGAGATCACCTGTAAACCCCTTTCCTGAGATGGACGACAATCCAATTAGAATTCCCTTCAGGAACAGAATCAATAGCAGCTTGAACGGATTTGAAGTCCCCTTTTCCACTAATGTCAACCGTTATTGTGCGGTTGGTGCCAATCTTTTGTGTCAAGAGACGCGAGTCAATTACATTTTTTGCAGAGAAGCCATTATTATTAACAGCATCCAAGGGAGAGATGGAGGTAACAAAAATCAATGCTAAGGCAATATAAACTGGATGAATTGATAAATAAGAATGCAATGATGAAATTGAAGGCATTTTCGAGGTGGGTAAAACTAGCTTTGCTGAATCTGAATGGAGGATTGTAAGACACAGAGTTTTGGCAGAGACATTTGAGGGATTTTTGAGGTTGAAATGTTTATCAGCATTTTTAGGATGTGATTGTTTTGAAAGGTAAATTCGAATGGTACTCATTTTGGAGCGGGAAAGTTAGTTAGAGGGAAGCTTTTTCCATATTAGAGGTCCTCCAACAATTATTGTGTGGTTGATAAGTGGTGTTGCTTGTGGTTAGTGTTGGATCGTCGGTTTGAATCTCATCATTTCTTCTTTTCAATTGTATCTGACAAGAAAAAATAGAAATGTTGTATTGCTTTTGTTCCTACTGATACAGTTGTAACAGAATTTTAAATTGGAAGGGTGTATCGGTATTCTATTATTTTCGAGACAATGCATGAGGATAGATTTGATCCACCCATAGATAGGGAAGGATAGGGGCCGTGTCAGAAATTTATTTAGAAGGGCAAAATGTAATTAGAAAAAATGCACAGTTGATACAAAAAAAAAATTAAATTCAAACACGAAAATATATATTAAAATTCAAGACTAAATTAATATATAAAATAACAAAACTATTTATGAACGATCATGAAAGTTATAATTTTTAAAGGTTAAGTTACAATTGATCAAGGAAAGTCCATAATCGCTCATAGGTATCTCTTATCAATCATGGGCTTCCCTTAATAAGTTGTAATTTCTTTTTTTAAATGTATAATTTTACCAAAAAAAGTTATTAACTTTCGGTACGGTACTAAATTTTTTTTTCTGATACCATAGACTTTCCAGTTGTGGGTAGTGTTAGTGTGGCTAATGACGAGCTCAGATCCAGACCAAACTAGAGCTCGGTCTATGAGTTAAGCCCAAATCATCAAAAGGCACGTTAGGCTTCGCTCATGGTCTCAATTCAATTCAAAACTCAAGAGTTTGGAGAAAGTCAACGTATGTGAAAAAATAATTATCGGGATAGCCATTATTTCAAGATAGGGCCTATACCTAATTGTAGCTATCATCCCCAATAAATTAGTAGTTTGACATCACTGCCACAGTTAAGGGTCTATGTCTATAAATTGCAGACTCCCTACACAAGGGGCAGAACACACAGACCTCACATTGAGCGTATTTTTAGTCTTTCTCTCTTACTATCTTATACTCTCTTATTAATAAAGTTTTTTGGCTACCGTTGTTGTCTTTAATGGTTAGGTCACATATACGCAATAATCAAATCTTTGTCTCTTGTTATTAATTTATTTTACACTATACACTCGGACTGATTTGATTGTGCATAGAGAACTTTGTGCATCATCAGCTAAAACTATAAATAATACTCCATTTTTTTTCATGTTATTGACCCAACCAATCTAAAAACTTTTAATAAGTGAGGATTGCTACTACCGAAGTTAGCCTTTGTGATTTAGACATAGTAAGAGTATAGGGGTGTGTTTGGTTTGAGTTTTAAAAATAGTTTTTTGTTCTCAAAATACAAAATTTTGTGAAAAGTTATTTGGACAACAATTTTCAAAAAATAATTTTTCAAAAAAAGTGGGAATTGAGAACAAAAACTGGAGAATATCGTTAAGATGTTTTATGAGTTTTCAAGCCAAAAATAGAAAAAAAGGGAACCAAGGAAAACAATCACATTCTTTAATGAGGTCTCTCCTTCGAATCCCTTTAGCAGCAAAATTAACCAAGGTTTTTTTTTTTGGCCTTCCTCTCTCCCTGACGTTCTCTCTCTGTAATGGTGTCTCCTTTTCAACTGAACCTAAAAGATTCTTCGGCTCCGGCAAATCACAAGCGTAGCTCCGGAGACTAGTGGCGTTCTACTCTTTGCAACAAATATGTGTATATCTCACGCAACAGATCTTGAGACTCTTTGCAACAGATCGAATTTGACAAATCTCACGCGACCCATTTCCTCTCTCTCTCTCTTTGCAACAGATCTATATATATATATATATATATATATATATATATATATATATATATTCAAATATGTATATATACACAGATCTATGTGTATGTGTGTGTTCTCTCTCTCTCTCTCTCGTGGGTGTGTGTATGTTTGTGTTGTGTGAGAAGACAACGGAAAGAGATGCTGTGAGAAGATACTGTACTCGTGGGTGTGTATATTTTACACCATTTATTGATCACTGTCCAAATAGGTTTTACTATTTTCAAAACCATATAATTAAACAAGTTTTGTAATACAAAAATATCAAAAAATATTTTTTTAAAACTCTGCTCAAAAATTATTTTCAAATACTGCTATAAGAGATACAAACCAACCATGCCCTAGGCATTTGCCAATATTTTGCCTTTCATGATGCATGTGAACCACATGATTTCCAGCTGTGAAATTAGGGATACATTAATTGATGAAAGGGTACCGAGCGATGACTATGGAAATTGCAGGATGTTCATTAAAAGAAGAACCAAGTAGGGTTGTTAATGGTCATTGTCTAGCATTCATACAAATTGACAAATGAAAAGGATTTCACCTTAGTTGTTGTTTCTTGTCTGATAAAGAGCATGCAAGGACTATTAGATCCTATTCTAAATTGGGTAATGTAATTTGACCACCAATATGGCTAACAGATAAGGAAAGTAATGTGTATTCAAGTCCCTCCGGGGGCAGTGGGGTTGGGATCTCTGAGCCTCCCAGCTAAGGCTGAGTTGGGAACCAATAACCACAGAAAAAAGAATAGCTCAAATTGATTGTCATTCTCTTATAGAACAGACATTGAAACATAAGAGAGAGAGAGAGAGAGATAGCTAGATCAGCTTGCAGCAATGGGCATAGCTCATGGGAGTGGCTGGTCCAATTCTCTGTCCCAAAACTAGCCAGCATACAATGGTTATTTTCCCCAAATATGTGAGCAACTTCGATCTTTAAGCAGTAGTGCACATGCATTTTTCACTGTGATTGCCTTGGTAATGAGGTTGATCCATATATAGCTTGGTTGGATATCTCCTCCAAAACGACACATTTGTACATCCTTCTTTCCCTATTAATTACAGAACCTTCAGCAGGCCCCATTGCTCAGCAGCACTCTTCAGAATTGTTCATTTCACAACTAAGTTATTGTCATTGTTAAATCTCCATAAAAGGCAGTTCAAGAGCACGAAGCTGATGTTACAGCAGAGTTTGAGAGGACAGAGGGACGTAATCTCATCTTTGCTTGTGGAGGGAATGTTTTCACAACCCACACCTCGTGATCTGATACAATGTCAGAGCATCAACTCCTCCAAAAACTTAAGCCGTTAAGAGACATGTAATCTAAATATTTATATACTCCAAGAGTTACAATTGTGTTGAATTTAGCATTTACTTAATTTTCGACACACTCTAATGGAGGCAAATAAAAGGATTCAATTAATACAATTAGAGAATTCATGAACTCAATTGACAAAAAAAAAAAATCAAGAGTTTAATTGACAAAAATTATAATTTGAAGGTTATATATATGATTTACTAAGAAATAAAAAATCATGGGCTCTAGAGGAACATTTACAGTACAATAAAGAGGCGGATCACCTACCTACTAACTGTTACCCACCACCTAAAGCCAATTGATGGGTAGAGTGTCACCATCCCATTGTACTGGGACTTGAGACTATGGCTTCATTGCTTCTGAAATTAGTGCTTTCGTGGGCTCATAACTATCTATGACATAGACTACGGTTGCATTAATGCATCTGCCTGGTACAATAATTATTAGGCTTACGTTTATTGCGGTCCATCCAACTTTATTGATGCAGTTTATTCACCATTGCCTTAATAAAAGTTAAAAAAAAAAAGTTTTATAATATTAACCACCGTTGACACACGTTATAAATAAACCGAATGATTTACTCTGGTGGTTAAGTTGTCTATTTCTAGGCTCAACTACGGATCGATTTTTACTAGTCACGTAGAAGTTCCTTTCTTACAAACAAGCTAGAACAATTGATGGAAATCAATAAAATAATGGTCATATATATATTTTTTGATCGGCAACACGATGAAAAAAGGGAGGGACTCGAACCTTTAACATGCCACTTCATTATAGAGGGCTCTAACCATTGGGGTAGGACTTGGGTACTATAGCTATATATATATATATATATGATTTCCAAAACTATGGGTTTTATGCGAATAGAATTCTAGATAACTAATAGGTTAGTTTGTAGAACTTACAATCAAAATGACATCTTAGCCTATTGATTATATGGTGTGGGCTTGGCATGACCCATTTTTCCAATCCCGGCCCGTACCCTTGTTTCAAGAACAAGTTTGGACCTATAAAACACACTTTAAAGTTTAAACCTTCCTTGTTTTTTGAAATCATTTTCCTGTTTTTTCTAATTCTCATTGTGGATACATGGCCTACACTATGCGATTATTGTATACTCAGATGGGTGGATTTTAAAAGAGTTAACCAGAACAACGATTTCTCTAACAACATCCAAACAGGTCCTTGACTTGGCTTGTCTTAAGTCCGTGGCTAGTACTTCTTTGTATTTAGAGTAATGATAAATGAATTTAAAAAATAAATTTAAAAATTAGACTTGATAATTTTAATCATTGAATAGGTAGTAGGTTCTGATAAATACTGGAACCCACAGTAAAATCAATGATTAAAATTATAAAATCTAATTTTTAAGTCTATTTTTTAAATTCATATAATACTACTCTTGCATTTAAATAATCCATTGTACCACCACCACCACGCCCACCCCCACCCCCACC